AAGAATTTAATATCAAACAACTTACACCGCATTACTTTCCAGTGTTGGGCAGTCTTATGAATGTGTCCGGTATTTTCTGCGTTCCAGTTTGCGACCCTACTCAGCTCAAATAAAAACAAAGTGGCTAAAAATAAAATATACTACATAACAAATCGCACTTCCTAGCTTATGTGATAATCTTGTAAAATATGATAGCGTCAAATAAAGTCATCAAGCACATATGTAATTTCTTTTTTATTAATTATCGATTCTTATTTAATATGCAAATTGTTAATCGAACAGCTGTTACCAACAACCAAAACAAACATTATAAAATTCCGCCATTTCAAAGAGAGTTCCCGCTCTTTTACCATTTTCGACACAGATCGTGATCACTCGGCGGCGTGTTAGTTCGGGAAATCTGTTTTACTGTACTGCAACTGCATTTCGTCATTTTTGCATTTTCACGAGTTTCACCATTGACTCGTCGACTTTTAAAGATCTGTATTTAGATTTACTTATAGAATACTTACATTTTTACGCACAGATTCTAGTTTGGCAGCGATGATGGCCACAGCAAAAGCAAGCGCATCCAATGGCCGAAAGTTCGCTGAGGGCACGCAGCCTTTCACAGTGCTAATTGAGGGAAATATTGGGAGCGGCAAGACGACATTCTTGAATCACTTTCAGAAATATGACAAGGACGTCTGCCTTATCACAGAGCCCGTTGAGAAGTGGCGTAATGTGAACGGTGTTAATTTGCTCGAAAAAATGTACAATGATCCACATAAATGGGCCATGCCCTTTCAGTCATACGTCACACTAACGATGCTTCAAGCCCACACGGCAGCCACTGACAAAAAATTGAAAATCATTGAACGCTCCATTTTCAGTTCACGGTATGCCGTAAATGACGAACTCTAAGTAGGATTTTTAACCCAACTTTATTTTGTTGTGGCAGGTATTGTTTCGTTGAGAATATGTATCGCAATGGATCCCTGGAGCTTGGCATGTACAATACGCTGCAGGAGTGGTACAAATTCATTGCCGAGTCGATACACGTGCAAGCTGATCTGATCATCTATTTGCGCACTTCGCCTGAGGTGGCATACGAGCGTATACGACAGCGTGCACGATCCGAAGAGAGCTGCGTGCCCCTAAAGTATTTACAAGAATTGCACGAGCTGCACGAGGATTGGCTAATACACCAGCGTCGTCCACAACAGTGCAAGGTGAATTAGTGACGAACCTATTCACATTGTCATAAGACTTGCTAAATGGCTTCTATTTTTCTAGGTTCTTGTGCTGAATGCGGATCTTAATTTAGAGAACATAGGCAGCGAATATCAGCGGTCTGAGACTAGCATTTTTGACGCAATCTCTGGTGCGCATCAGAACCAGCCTGCAGCTGTGCTCGTGTCGCCCAGCAAACGCCAAAGATTATCCAGTTAACCAAATGGTTTAACACGAGTTGACTAATGCCTTTATTTCAATTTGTTAGGGGTAGTTAGGTGTTAGTAAATGGAGTCGTAGCTGCAATTCGACGATTCTTTCTACGTAGAACGTAACTTCCTATATCACAATTATTTATAATTCCAATATACATACATATGTACGTTTCAATGTGTGTGTGCACGCAGCAGATAGTTTAATTTTAAATTCAATATATGACGCCTGCAAACCTGCTTCGCTATACAAATATGTGTCAATCTTATGTCTTATAAAACTAAACTCTAGTCTAAGCTAAACTATTTAATAAAATATATTCGCCTATTAATTAAGGTTTATGTATCTATGTTATCACAAAATGTATCTCAAATCGCTGCATCTATTCAGCTAGATTCGATCTCTGCGCCGCCGTTTTGGAGAACCGCCTCCACACGCCATGCCATCGTCTCGTATAGCTGCTCAATCTTGTTGACCAGCTCCTGATCGCTGTGCCAGATGTCGTAGAGCACCGATCGAAACTCGCTGACATTCTGAGGTGCCTGATCCTGTATCTTGGGCTGTAATATGTTCATTAATTGCTCCAACAGATTCAAATCTTTGCAATCACCGCAGTCCGGTCCCAGCAATGTGTCCACATATATTTCCTTGGGCATTGTGCCCATCGTAGACTTGTGATCGTCCATATTGAAGATATTGCGCCAGTCCTGCACGGTCCACTCCGCATGAGCGCGCGCCCATTCCAAGCGCCGTTGCCGAACAGTCGCACTCAGGGTCCCATTCCTTGCCGGAGACTGGCGCGCCCTAATCTCACTGATGCGCCGCTGTAGAGTGCGCCGACTGACCTCAATGCCAAATCGACTTATTAGCTCGCGCTGCACATCTATGGATGTGTAGTGTGGATGCTCTCTCAGCATCTGCTCCACCAATTTGCGATTCTCGAACACCTTCGGCCGTCCAACCTCTCGTCTATTCTGTAACTCCGGCAACGGCCTCAGCTTTAGCTTTGGCATTTTGCTGTTGCTTAGCTCCGTCTCCGTAATGCAGCTGACCACGCTCTCCACATCGCACTCCAGCATTTGTGCGATTTCCTCGTAGCTATAGTTATCCTTCAATGACTTTACAATGTTCCTCGTCACAGTATCGAGCACCATCGCGACTTGTTGGCTGTGCCAAAATCAAAGATCAACTGCCTTAGCTTCAGACTCAGCGGCATCTTTATATATGTTTATATCTGTTTGTAGTTGCAGGTAAATTTAAGTTTAACTTGCATCTGCTTGGGTTTATGACGTGCAAGCTGTCGGGGATTAACTACATGTTTTATGACCCACATTTGCAAGCAGGTAATAACGGTTTCTATTTGACCTACAACGAAAAATCGTTCGGCCCGAAACTTGTCCTATATTTTTGTCGCAGATTAGTTTTGGACCTCTGTATCTTCTGTCCAAAGCCAACGATTAGATGATCAAGTCTCCCATTAAACCAATCATCGCCTTAAAGAAGATCAACATAACATTAACGATCGATATGTAACTGCATGGGTATATCTTACTCAACAGCACTCTTGCCCAGTTCATACAAAAAGACCCCGATTTGGAAATTCATTTCCGTACTTGCCATTTAATGTGAAGACGATTTCATGTTGACGTATTCGTAGAATTACAAAAATAAATGTAAAAAACTTGTACATGTGAGTTAGTTATTTCTACAATAGGAAATGCATCACTGCCAAATGTCAAATATTTTTAAAAATATATATATGTATATGTATGTATGTAGGCCAGTTATGTCTTTTTTATATTCACACATTCATTTGCGACGAATGCCATGCAAAAGTACTACTATTCATATTGTGCCAAAGGCCTCAAGGCCTTTATAGAACGTATAATATAGAGGGAGGGCTGGCTTTTAGCTGGGCACTAGTGTGTGTTTAAATATAAATGGAGGAAAGGCAACCACATAAGCTCTTAGTGAGCCCATCTATATGCCAATAGGAGTTTGGGTGAGGGTTGTTAGGGTTAGTAGCAGTAGCTCGATTGGAATTATACAATTTAATAAATAACGATAAAGTATGCCTAATTGGATTCCTACATTCATGTGCTAGGTTTTGATTTTTTTTTTGTTTTTTTTTTTTTTGATTGTTTTTGTCCCGGCGCAACCAAGTACCAAGCAGCTAGTGTTTACTCTGTGGCTGTGTTTGTTAATATTTTGTCGTTTGTTGTGGGCGCCACGTTAGTCATCGAGATCAATATCGGAATCATCGGAGTCATAGCCGCCGCGTATTGTCTTCTGAGCGCGATTTATGAACGGTTTGCGCTTAACATCTGGTGGCTGCATTAAATCACCTTTGTACTCAATGGCACCCGAGTGGGCGATGCGCCATTCAAGCATCTCTGTGGAAAAGTCATCGCAGTTACCCAAATCGGTGAACCCTACGATGAAGTCCTTGGTTTTACTATCCTTAACCAAAGCTATTGTTGGCAGTACTTTGATGCGTAGACGCTGTGTCAAGAATGGAGTCTTCTCGGCGTTCACCTTGCAGAATTTGGCCTCTATATGCTTGGCAGCGAGTATTTTCAGATGCATGTCAACAATGCGACTGCGCTCAGAGCTATCTCTATAAAAGTGACACACAATATTTGGCGACTTCTTGGAAACCTCGAAGAACTCCTTCTCATCGGCTAATTCTGAATAGGTGCCATGACCCTAGAAGAAACATATAATTAAAATTAAAAAACAAACAGATGGGCTTCCTTCACGACTCACGTTTCTTAACCACTCCTGCTTTTTATTGTTTAACTTTTTCATTTCCTGTATGCGCTTCTCTCGCAGGGCTTTCAAATCATCCGAGTCAAAGCTGTCCAAACGATCGATCTCCTGATCCAACTGCTGCTCAATAGCTTGCGCCGCAGCAAACAATTGATTTTCCACTATGTGCGCCATGTCTCCAATGTGTGTTCGACTGTGTAGGAGGTGCACTTGCTGCTGCTGCTGCTACTGCTGCTGCTGCTGGTGGCGACTATTTCGTATCTATTTTGACTGCTGATGCCTGTTTCTGCTTGTTGGTTTGTGTGTGTGTGTGTGTGTGTCTGAGCAGTACGCACTGCGTGTTTACGTGTGCGAGTGTTTCACAAATGTTGTTTGGTGTATGTGTGTGTGTGCGTGTGTGTCCGGCATAAATGAAAGGCGTATCCAAATGCAGATGCGTCATGTTTTGTGGAAAATTCAATAAAGTAACCAACATGAATACCAAAGAATATTGTATATGAAGTAAGGTTACTATAAATCATCCACGTAGCAAATACTTACATTAATTTCTCACCGATTTCATTGATTTTTAGACAAAATTCGAATAGCTTATTTATTAGCCGTGTGGGATGTCGATTGTACAAGTGAATCGATTACCTTCACAATCGGTGTGGCTGCATCCTGAAAGCATAAAAATGTCGAATTAGTTGTATGACAACGACGGAACGACAAGACGGAGTTAATTTGTCATGCCAGCCCAATCTTTGTTGTTTTACACAAAAAATGAAGTAGCGAACCAACTTTGTATTAAAAAATAAAAATTAAAATTAAAATTAAAAACACTAACCGCTCCAAACAAAAGATTGATTTAATATGAGCTGAGTAATTTTTGATGACCTGAGACGACTAGATGATTGTTTCTATATGCCGGTGACACAAATCTCCCTTTTGAATTTAAACATGACGTATTTGAAAATCAAACTTAGTATTTGTATGCACATATTTAGGTATGCATGTATGTATTTTGTGTATTTTGCATGTATTTTGTGAACCGTTAAATGTCCAAAATTTGAAAATTATATTTTATAGTCTTTACACTGGTCCAGCGCCTTGTATCGTAAGATAAGTTTTGGGTGCCGAATGGATCCGTAGAATAATTGCCTAACTTTAATAACTGTTGATTCGGATGTAGCTTCGATTTGGTTGTCTACTCGCTCTCCTCTTTATCTTCTACAGACCGCTCCAAGCGATTGGCTAAACAAAAATAAAAATGAATAAATATTAAGTAATACATATAATTAATTTTATTTATTGTTCATACTAAGAGAGTTTGTTATATCCTGACGAATGGCATCTGTTAAATTGTTAGCTCCTGCGGTAAGTTTAGCGATCTCAGCTGAAATACAATTCAACATATCGTTTCGTTGATGTATTGTCAAATCTGAAAATAAATTCAGTTTTGAGTCCCAGAAATATAAAAGCTCTCCATTCTTGCCATTCGGTGCCAAACAATTCTCCAGCTCTCTGAACATCTGCAGAAAAAGATTGAATTGATGGGAAAATATATATACAAATGTATATTTAGTGATATGTGTATAATCCTCACATCGATCAATATTTCGTTGAGTTGTTTCGTTTTCCAATAATTTTTTGGCCTGGCATCTATTTGCCAGAGTAGTAGGGTCTTGATGTAGTAGCTCTTCAGGGTGCTGATATTTTGCTTTGAGTCGCGAAACTTTTTCATAAACCTGATAACGTCCTTTAGTTTATATCTGCCCTTCAGCATGGCGCATTCGGCCTCATCGTAGGAAGTCCTAAAGGACACATTGGCGTCCTGGGATCCCTTTGAGGGCTTCGGGATCGCGTTCCAATGAGAGATATTTCGAAAGTATTTCAAATGCTCTTGGGCTAAAACATTTTGCTCTGCTCTGAGCCTGATGGCTGGCACAAAGTCCACAGAATACTTCATATTGCCGTCATTAATGAACAGCGTATGTGCCGGCCCACATCGCCTATAGCCGAGTGGCGTCATTTTTCCGTCGACTTCGATTTGGTTATTCATCCTATTCAGAGCTCGCGTCACAGCGCCGTTTATCAAGTCCTGCAACTTGTTCTCGAGCAGAAAATTTTGACGACTCACGATGCTCTTTAAATGTACGAAGGCAACTTTATTATGGCGTTGCTTGTGCAGCACTTTCAGCACATTCGTCATGTCCAGAATTACATGGCCAGCATTATTCTTGTCCTTTCTTACAATAATCTTGTCATTCTCTGGAAACGTCAAGTGCATTACCAAATCAAACTCATCGGGCTTGGCCACTTTCAGCTTATCTGCGTAACTTCCTGCGTGTAGGATACAGAGGGGAGACGTAAGATTAACGATAAGGCAAGCATATCATCGAGAAATGATGATAAACGTTTCTATAGACCACGAACCACCTAGCTTATGTCCGCATAACCATTTATCCAGTGGCTCCTCCTGCTTTAGCATGGAATAAAACTGATCACGTAGCCTGCCATAGTGATGGGTGTACGATCTTCGATTTGCATTAATATTTATAAACTTGATGTTCATTAACTGTAGATGTTGCTCCAGATTGGACATTTCTAGATCGATCCTCACTTGAACAAAGCCAGATGCAGATTGGCCGCGGCTGGTAAACAAAACCAGATATCAAAT